GTTTCCATCTCAAATAGGCCTCTAAACTACCTGTATTTCCCCAACTCTCTTTTATACATCTTTCATACCCTTAGTAAGACTTGGCAGGTGTTGAGTCACCTGGATATATCAAAACATTTACAACTAATTTGAAGACAACATCCATTGAAGTCCTTCTGTCTTGGTTGTAGAATTTGCAGAGCTGTTGCTTGAAGCTCTGCATTTGTACATATATAGAAAAAAATGTTCCTCACTTAAGTTTGATGTGGGAGAGTGAAATTGTGGTCACTTCCAATACTCTCTTGAACTACTATCTGCAGCTGATGCTTGTTTTGGCAATTTTGCAGTCCTTGTTCACCTAGGACTCCTTAACCCACCTTCCTAGGCAGTTGTACTGCTGGCTAATCTCTTACAAAAGGGAATATATAGGGATGACTCGAAGCAGAAAGAGAGGTTACTTCCAAGTAACTGTTGTCTTTGAGTGCTGGTTCCTATGGGTATTCACTTTGTGTGCGCATGTGCTCTGTGTGCCCAGGACTGGACATTTTTCAATACCATTGTCCATTGGTCCATGCCTGCACATTATGCTGTCTTGTGCCATGACCTGAGGGTGGCACTGATCAACTGCCTCTTCAGTTCCTTTTCTACCTCTCACGGTCTAAGATGGAACCACCTGTGTCTGTAGTTTCAGCTTCTGAAGCTCACCTTTCCTGTAAAAATATTGTTTATATATTTTTAATAGTTTTGTTAGTTAGCATATAGTCTTAGTTTAATTAGCGGGGATCTGGGCAGAGATGCCCAAAGTACCAGCCTTCAAGCCTGCCTCTCCTGCTCTTGAGTCTTCCTGGTAAGCAACCCACACAAGAGCTGCCTTTACTGCCGGAGGAGTCAGACATCCCATCCAAATGTGACATCTGCTGCTCCTTTCCTCCCCACACCAAGCTCTTCTGGGGCTTCAGGCTTCGCAAGCACCTGATGGAGCTCAACATGAGGTCTCGGTCGGACCTGAGACCTTCCCACCCCTTGCCTCATCAACTGGAGTTGTCAAGCACTGTCCTGCCAGTACCAACAGACCTCTCCAGCACACCCAAGAATGTCTCTGAAAAAAGGTATGATGAGGATAAGGAGAAGCACCCTTAGAGGAAGGAGGGCAAAATGACCCTCCTAAGAAGAGGGTGGCTTTCCCCCTTCCCTTGGGATCAAGTGAGACTTCGTTCCCCTGAGATGGCTCATCTGGAACTCATGGAGATCACGGGCCAGCACTGACAGTACCAAGAACTTCTAGTGCTCAGACACCATCTGCAAAGGTGTATAAGGACGGTAGGAGCAGATTGCCTTTTGCACCAGTGGTTTCCACACCACACCCAGACAACTGCATCCATACCAATGTATCCAATTCCAAAGCCAGTTCTCCTCCTGCCTGACCTCAGTACACCCTTCTTCAGGATCTGGAAATGTACATGGATTCAGCGTCACTGATCCTCGCAGACGTGGTGATAGAGAGAGACTTCCATATGTGGTCCACACGTCACTCTCTATTCTAAGCTCTAGTAGGGACAGGGATACTCCAACATTGTTGGGATGCTATTCATCTGGCTACACTTCCACCTTTTGAGTCCAACGATTCTTACTCTGAGGAGGAGCAGGAAATGGTGCTGCCGGTTCCATCGATGGTCTATACGTGGGCAGGCCAGGCAGTAACAAAAGCTGCTGAGAAGGACTGCTGACATCCTCCAGAGATCCTGCTGCAGGTTTGTGAAACCATTCAATATCCATTCTCTGCAGACCTGACACTTAAAGAATTAGAATAATTTTGTTTGCATTGTTTGTCCCTTGCTGAAGAGGGTATTGAAGTATTTGGTAGATGCAAAGTGGAGGGTTTGAGATATAAAGCTATTGCAACGGCCAGTGTCTTGTCCCTTTGTTGCTTTTCTCCAAGCAGTGGTTGCTCCTCCTTAGTTCTCAAGCCTCTTCAGTCATCCTCTTCAACAAATGCAGAGGCACTAATTCAAAGACATGCTCTATTTCATTCAACAGACATTGGGCTTGATAATCACATATAGTATGGAAGAATAATTTCCCTTACTACAAGAATCACTGGGTGAAATTCTATGGCCTGTGTTATGAAGGAGGTCAGTCTAGATGATGATAGTGGTCCTTTTTGGCTTTACAGTCTATTAAACAAAATCAGTTATGAGGAAGGGAGATTGAGAAGAGATTAGCACCACTCACTGCTGCAAGGTAGAGATGGGAGCAGTTAAAGCTGACATACTGATGAGTTACCATCATCACTTTGTGTTTCATGGGCAGGATCTCTGAACACTTTACCACAGACTTTACATACAGATTCAACACAAACATTTATGATCTTTTAATCAACAGCAGCAATATTTCAATGTCTGATACCAGATGATGCATACAAGCTCTCAGGAACCTGGCCTACACAGATTACACAGTTTTAAAAGACTGCTTCAGCACTTTATTGTGTATTCTGTTAACTCTTGTCTCTCTTTGTCCTGTTCTAATTTTTCCCATTACTTTGCTCCCACTGCTATCCTATTTGCCTGTGACTGGCCTCAGATAAAAATGTTGTATAATTAGCTTAAGTGTAATAATATTCATAGATGGAGGCAGAGACTGTTAGGCTTTATCTGCTGTTAGATGAAAAGCTCCTATTAGTAGACCCATGGCTTTCACACACTTTTTCTACTTGCTATAGGGAGAAAATCTGTTTCTAGAAAAAAGGATTCTAAGGACACTGCAAATGGATTAGCATGACATCCTTAATGCAATTACAAAAAGCTGTTTTTATGCCCTGAAGGAGATACAGGCTGCTCCAAAATAAAACTGTGAATATATGCACTTTGAGATGTTTCAGATACATTATCATTCTCTTTTCAGGTGAGATATTGCTGCAAGTTAAAAAATATCAGTTTTGTTGTTCTCTCCATTTGGTATCAGATCTACTAGGAACCCAAAGTTGCTGCTATTTAAATCAATGGGAGTTCGAATGGGCACAAGTTGGCTTAATTTTAAATGTGTAATTTTGTATTGAATGAGTTTTGCAAAGTCAAATGTAAAGCATAGGGAATGCAACATGATTTTAAGTAAGGTAAACTAAGTTGAATGCCCCAAGTTTTGAAACCTGGGTGCCCAAATTAGATTTCTAAATTTATCATCAGGGCTAATAAGGCCAAAGGTGCTGAGCACCCACAAATACTGTTGAAATAAAGTGCTCAGCATCTTTGAAAATCAGGTCACTTTTGTGGGTTCTTGAATATGGATTTACAAACTTAACTTTAGTCACTCAGGTTTCAAACTTTTGGCCAATGCTCTCCAAACGTATGATTTAAGAGTTATTTTTACTAATAACCCTATAGTTGAGAAATAAAAGTATATAAAAAGGTGTTACTGCTATTTGAGGAGTATGTGAAACATTATAGACTAAGGCTTTAAATGACTCCAAAGGCATATGATCATCCAAGTCCCAATAATTTTAATAGAAGAGCCTTGGTGGCTTTGAAAATCTCAGCCAGAGGCCTGCAGGAACAGAGTCAGGTCAGAGTCAGCCTCCACAGATTCAGGGAAATAAAGCATGACTAGATGAAGAGTACAGGTCTGAGTTGGTATTGAGGGAATGTTGCCACTCCACAACGTGCTGCTTGTGTTACAGTTGCCCCTGTTTGACCTGAGGGGCTAGTCAAAGTTTGGGACCCTGGAGATGTTCCAGAGTTGGTGACAAGCATTTATTTGATGCAATCTTATTTATTTACAATGAATGTACATCATCTTGTGTTTGCTTACAGCACCAAGAACACTCTTTTCATCCCTGACCTGGAAATCTCTCCCCAGGTTCGTTCAGGGTCAGACACTCTACTTTCAGCTTCTCCTTCAGGCTGTCTGGGTCACTCTGCTCCTTGGTGTTCTCCCTTCCCTTCACACACGTCCTACCTAAAACAATGCTTAGCTAAAGCCCCTAGGTAAACTCACGTACTCCTTTTGCCTTAGGTGGGGGCCTAGCCTTACACTTACCTTAACTGAAGGGTGTAGTCCCACCCCTCAATCTCCATGAGTTTTTAACTCAACCCATCATAAAGTTTCACCCAGCTCATAACAGTACACAACCACCAACTGGTTGCCAACTCTTCCAATTTTACCTTAACTTTTGCACTATTTTATGTTTGTAGTAAAGCACCAGCACATGAATTACAGGTTTGTAGAAGACGGTGAGCTCTGTTTTATTTATTTATTTTATTTTTATTTTTTTTTACAAGGGTAACTTTCTTGCTCTGTGGGTTGTGGAGAGAAGCTTGCAGTGGGGACCTGATTCCATCTTTAAACCGCAGACATTAGAAAACAAAGAACCCCACATCTATCTTTTTAATCAAACTTACAATTCTTAAGGCGATCTGATTTTCCATTCAGTTTTGAATGTTGAGGGATGGCACTATTTAAATTCACAGCTGCACCAAACGGCTTCCAGGGGACATATGTAGTACCTAAGCCTTGTGCTCGGCCTTGGGGCAAACTTTGGTCAGATTTATCCTGGTGGTCGCATGTGAGCTGGAGCTGTTAGGCTATCACCCCTCATAACGCAGCCTTGGCAGGGTCCCTGGCCAGGTGCCTGTGCAGCCCGAAGGGAGCCACAGGTGAGTGGCGCCAAGTCCGGCGCTTTCAGCGGGAGTCTCCCGGGCCGGGAGCCGGGGTGTGCTCGGAGCCCAAGCTGCAGGAGTCCCTGCTAAGCTGCCACACAGGTTGCAGCCCCCTGGCGGCAGACAAACGTAGGGACACGTGCCCCAGCGTCGGGGAGCGGCGTGGCCACTAGGGGGGCGCGGGACAACGAACAATCTCCCCACAAACCCGGCCCCACCCTCCCGAGTGGAACGTTCGGCAGCCCCAGCCCCGCCTCCTTCCGCCCTGTGAGCGGAGGCGGGAGAAGTCCAGGACTCAAAACTCAGCGCAACGTGCCAACCCTCACCTGCGGAACGGGGGGTGGGGCCAGCCTCTCTCTGGTGAGGAGGGGGAGGGAGTGTTAGTGTGGAGCTGAGGGCAGAGGTGCGGAATGACTTAGTTTGGCCGCCCTGGGAGCCCGTCGCGGCTGCGACGTTTTGACGTGTGGAGGGGCGGGGCAGAGGTCGGCATCATGGCGGAGTCCAGCTGAGCGCGCGGGTTAGGCGGTAAGTCGTAATTGCTACTACTACTACCCCCCCCCCCCCCTTCCGTGCCGGAGTCGTTTATTCAGCGTTTAGCCCCCGGCAGCGGGGCCCGGCTTGTGGCGGGTCTCGCGGGGGGACAGCCCCTCAGGCGCGTTTCTGTGGCCGGCGGGGCTGTCGGGGGGCGCGGGCTGCCCTTCGAGCAGCGCGGGGCGGTGACACCCCCCGCCTCTTGTGGGGACACCTCCCCCCCTCTCCCCCCGGCCTGCGAGCGGTGGCCCCGCGTGTTTACAGGAGGTGGGGGCGGCTTGCGCGGAGCCCCTGGGGTGGCGGTGCCCGGGGCCCTGCGCTGAGAGCGGGGCTGTGCGTTGTCCCCCAGCTTGGGCAGCCCCTTGGCGGCTCCCGCCTGGCGCTGCGGGTGCGCAGCTCTCCACGTGGGGCGGGATCATTGTCCCCATTTTACAGATGGAGGAAACTGAGAATCCTTCACATAACATAAGAACTAGCAGTCACCCAATGAAATTAATAGGCAGCAGGTTTTAAAAAAACAAAAGGAAGTACTTCTTCACACAACATAAAGTCAACCCGTGGAAGTCTTTGCCAGGGGATGCTGTGAAGACCAAAACTATAACAGGATTAAAAAAGGAACTAGATAAATTCCTGGAGAATTGGTCCATCAGTGGCTATTAGCCAGGATGAGGAGGGATGCAACATCATGCTCTGAGTGTCCCTAGCCCAGGGGTCGGCAACCTATGGCATGTGTGCCAAAGACGGCACACGAGCCGATTTTTAATGGCACGCTGGAAGCCTGCCGGGACTCCATTGTGCCATTAAAAATCCTGCCCAACGCGGCCCGCTCTCCTCTACCGTCTGCTCCTCCTGCGGGGGCAGGGAGCAGAAGCATAGCCGTGCGCACGGGGTGGGCAAATGACCCCATTCTCCCGGCACGGCAAGCCACGGGGTCTGTGCTCCTGGGCCGGAGTGCAGCAAGCTGCCGGCCCCTCCCGCGCCGTGCAGAGAGAGGAAGAGAATGGCCAGAACCAGGGAGAAGGTAGGTACCCACTGTATGTGGGGAGGGCCGGGACCCCAGACTGGCAGTGGGCTGAGTGGATCCGGCAGCCAGGATCCTGGCTGGCAGGAGCCAGCGGATGGAACCCCTGAGCGGCAGTGAATTGAGCCGCTCCGTCTACTGCCGGTCTGGGGTCCTGGCTGCCGGCCCCACACAGCCTGCTGCTGGTCTGGGGTTCTGGCTGCTGGACCCTTGCCAGCCGGGGTCCTGGCCGCAGGCCTCGCTCAGCCCGCTGCCGGCCTAGGTGAACAGAACCCCAGACCAGCAGCGGGCTGAGCGGGCCGGTGGCGTAAGATCAACATTTTAATTTCATTTTAAATGAAGCTTCTTAAACATTTTGAAAACCTTGTTTATTTTACAATACAACACCAGTTTAGTTATATAATATATAGACTTATAGAGAGAGACCTTCTAAAAAACATTGAAATATATTACCGGCATGCAAAACCTTAAATTAGAGTGAATAAATGAAGACTCGGCACACCGCTTCTGAAAGGTTGCCGACCCCTGCCCTAGCCTGTTTGCCAGAAGCTGGGAATGGGCAACATGGGATGGATAATTTGATGATTCCCTGTTCTGTTCATTCCCTCTGAAGCACCTGGCCTTGACCACTGTCGGAAGATGGGTTACTGGGCTATATGGACCATTGGTCTGACCCAGTATGACCATTCTTATGTAAAAATTAATTATAATAATAAAAAATGTTTAGTACAGAAACTCCCCAATATAATGACCTCTCAAGATAGCAACGATGTGAGATAACAACTTTGGCAAATAATGCATTTTAAAAATCTTGGCCTACTAGGAAACATATTTATATAAGTTTCCATTCCCAGTCACAAATCTAGCATTCTGGAGCAAAGTCACTAAAATATAGTCCAACAAATAAATGTTTATTCAACGTGCCCCTCACTTTTCCCTTCACCGCACCCCACTCACTGGTGTTGTCCTTGGTCAGTGGAAACTCAGAGTTCAGAGGTGCTTTCACGTGAGTACACCTCCCGGGGGGGCAAGAAGGCACCTTGCTCGTTCCTCCAGCTGCTCACTGTTCACTCAGGCCACAGCTGTTCGTTGTGCCACCGTTCATTCCACCACTCTGTTGCCAATGGCCCTGCGCAGTCACCTTCTGCTGCCACCTGCCACTGTGACCTCTGTGAGTTGGTCTCTTGGGGGAACCTCACTGCTAGTGCAGTCTGGGCTGTCTCTTGCACAAAAACACTCTACCCACAGGAACACTGTCCCCACAGCAGGACTAAGCACTTAGACCTGATTATCAGTGATTTCAGCTGCAGTGGTCACTTAACAGAACAAAAGACTATCTATGGAGCCTAATCAGCTCTGTTTTTAAATAGTGGAGAGGGACAGGTCCCCACCCTCTCTCTTGATGCCCTCAATCAGCACAGGCTAAGTACAGTTCTACTGCCCTTGACTCATACAATAAAAACAACAACATTTCATTCCCCCTCCTCCCCCCTCGCATTCAAGTGCTGTGTAACCCAACCCCAACCAAAATCTATCAGGTGTGAATGTAAATACAATCTGGTCCTGAAGCCTTTTGCTCCATCTCCAGCTCATCACTAGCTGTCAGGGAGAGCTCATTTAGACTTCGCTTACAAATCATCATTTGTAATTATTAGGTTGGCCAACATCACCGAAATGAATGCACTCACATTAGCTTCCTTATACAGTTGTTGTTTTTGATGACAGTCTATGTTCATACTTTTGAAATCTATTCTACTTTTTCAGATACATGTATTTTATCATACACTGTATATGCTTTTAAAGTGTGTATTAATGTTTCAATTTCAATTCAGATTTCTATCAAGATCTCTAAAGATAGCACTAAATTGGCATGTTTCAGAGTCGCAGTGGTGTTAATCTGTATCCGCAAAAAGAACAGGAGTACTTGTGACACCTTAGAGACTAACAAATTTATTTGAGCATAAGCTTTCGTGGGCTACAGCCCACTTAATCGGATGCATAGAATGGAACATATAGTGAGGAGAGATATATATACATACAGAGAACATGAAAAGGTGGGAGTTGCCCAACCAACTCTAAGAGGCTAATTAATATGAGCTATTGTTAGCAGGAGGAAAAAAAACTTTTGAGTGATAATCAAGATGACCCATTTAAGACACTTCAACAAGAAGGTGTTATGTATGCTTAACATGTCCGGTTTGGCCAATGTACATGGCGGAGGGGCATTGCTGGCACATGATGGCCTATATGACATTGGTAGATGTGCAGGTGAACGAGCCCCTGATGGCGTGGCTGATGTGATTAGGTCCTATGATGGTGTCACTTGAATAGATATGTGGACAGAGTTGGCATCGGGCTTTGTTGCAAGGATAGGTTCCTGGGTTAGTGTTTTTGTTCTGTGGTGTGTGGTTGCTTGTGAGTATTTGCTTCAGGTTGCGGGGGCTGTCTGTAAGCGAGAACAGGTCTGTCTCTCAAGATCTGTGAGAATGAGGGATCATCTTTCAGGATAGGTTGTAGATCTTTGATGATGCGCTGGAGAGGTTTTAGTTGGGGGCTGAAGGTAATGGCTAGTGGCGTTCTGTTATTTTCTGTGTTGGGCCTGTCTTATAGTAGGTGACTTCTGGGTACTCTTCTGGCTCTGTCAATCTGTTTTTTCACTTCAGCAGTTTTAAGAATGCTTGATAGAGATCTTTTAGGTGTTTGTCTCAGTCTGAGGGATTGGAGCAAATGCAGTTGTATCTTACAGCTTGGCTGTAGACAATGGATCGTGTGGTGTGTTCTGGATGGAAGCTGGAGGCATGTAGGTAAGTATAGCGGTCAGTAGGTTTCCGGTATAGGGTGGTGTTTATGTGACCATCGCTTATTAGCAGAGTAGTGTCAAGGAAATGGACCGCTTGTGTGGATTGGTCTAGGCTGAGGTTGATGGTGGGATGGAAATTGTTGAAATCATGGTGGAATTCCTCAAGGGCTTCTTTTCCATGGGTCCAGATGATGAAGATGTCATCAATGTAGAGTAGGGGTATTAGGGGATGAGAGCTAAGGAAGCGTTGTTCTAAGTCAGCCATAAAAATGTTGGCATACTATGGGGCCATGCGGGTACCCATAGCAGTGCCGCTGACTTGAAGGTATATATTGTCCCCAAATGTTAAATAGTTGTGGGTGAGGACAAAGTTCAGCCACCAAGTTTGGCATGTAACTAGTTCACAAAAACGGGGGGGGGGGGTAGGGGTAGGTAGG